CTGGCAGTAGGAATGCTTGACACAAAGAATCGCACAAGAAACCAAAAAAGCGTACCTTTGTGGACGCAACCCATTGCAACTTTGCAATACCAATAAAATATCCCGCCTCTATAAGCAGATAACACATGATTTAGGCAGCCGCATCAGCAAGGACTTTGCTTGGAACTAAACTGGCAAGAGCAGGGGAACGAAAAAGCTGGCCAACATGGTGATTATCGATGTACTGTGACACAGGAACACCAAGCAAACGAGCTGCACCAGTAACAAACAAACCCAGGTTATAATAGATAAAGGCACTTGCCTTCCAGCCAAACGGTAGAGTATAAAATGTGAAATACACATCATTCCATTCAAGGCCAAAATATGTACGTGACGAGGAACAGAGGAGCACATGTTGATAGCCGCTCTTATTGTCAGAAGACGTCTGAAAATGTCCAGGGAGAACATATCTGGGCAAGTCCAGATGATGATCAAGCCGAAAGGGGAGGTCCCTTATCCAAAGATTCAAATATCACTCGTCATGACAAAGACAGGGCTTTGAAGGCTCCACTGTAAGAGGAAGGACTAGATGAGGTGGGGTCACCTCACCAACCTCACCCTACACATCAAGTACTCCAGCAGTTACCCACTCAAGCACAGTCTCGTGAAATAAAGTCTTGAAATTTTTCACAAATCTTAGAATTGCTGAGCTGTATAGAGGGTGGACGTGGCACGTCATACGAGCAACCCTTGAAATTTCCTTTTAATGGCTTGAAAAAACAGTCAATGTTTACACCCTCCCGGACGATGTTAATAAAGTTCACTTGAGACAAGCTATGACCACTAAGTAATCTCTCCTACACTGGCAAATGATTATGAATTTTCTCCCCTCTGAAAAATGTAGGATCAAAGAAACGTAACTGCCCGATCTTAGCCAGGTCCAGGGAAGCAACGACCATACTCAGCGAAGGGAGGGGGCCAACGAAAGGGGAAGTCCCCTGCTTTATATCACACACAGGGATATCACCAGAAGGAGGAGCAAGTCCACTAACTTTGAAATAAAATGAAACAGGACCCTATAAGGAAAAGGGAGAAGATTTATAAATGAAAACGTGAAAACAATCCAAAAGCAGGGGAACCACCCCTTCGTTGACCCTGTGCTCCAAACTAGGTCCGAAATTGAGACACAGAGCAGGTCCCCCCAAGGTCAATGAAGAAAGCAGGTAAACTAGGAGAAAAAGGAACACGTAAAACAAGCTAATGCAAAAACAAAAATTCATTGTAAACTGAGGCAGAAGGGACTACTGTCCAACACGACCACGACCAAACTGTTGCCTTGCTGGTGGGGCACGGCACACCCAAGCGATATGTCCCCATCTTAAGCACCTGAAACACTGAACCTGAGCACAGCAAGGGTAGGGAGCTGGCTTGCCCACTGTAGAACCATGACGAACAGGCATGGCAGGTGGAGGCACCTTTCCGACACCCGTACGTGATCCCCCAACAACCCCAGCAAAAGACGGTGAAGCTGTTGGTCATCCACAAAATCCGACCTGGTCTTAATCTCATCCAAAGTAGCAGCGTACTCATTCGCTTTCTGGTTGTTCTCATTTCTCGCCAGACGCAATGATAACAGTAAGAGCTTAACTGCCTCACGCTTGTGAAACATTGCTGCTGGGCGATTTATATACCGATGAAGCACAGCCAAGGCCGACTTGGAACTCTCTAGTGTCCTAAGGCATTCCAAGGAAGCGATCTTTTCCTCTAATACTCTAATGCGATCGACAGCCTATCATGAAAAAAGAATAAACTCGAGGCCATTGCCTTCACCAGTGATATGCCCCAAAGCACTCCAAGAAATAATTAACCCAAAACATCACTGGCGGTACACTGAAACATTCTCCACCAGTGGAGTCCACAATACAAATCAGTGCAAGAAAACAATAAATTCCCCTACATCACAATATTGCCTTCACTTGTGGCAAAGCATAACACTTAAAAAGCTTAGCCATATAAATAAAACTATGCATATACCCCGCAAAACTGTTTTCACTAGTGAAAATCCCCAAGTTATAAGTACATTGATTGCAACACCTACCGAAGATATGCCTTCACTAGTAAAAGCTAGCAGTATACCAAATAAAGTACAAACCCTCCAATAAACTCCTTCACTGGTGGAATACCGATTTAAACTGAATGCAATACTGCCTTCACCGGTGGAAATCCTTAAATCATGTGCAACTTGTAATATCTATACCACAAGCTGCTTTTGCCAGTTCAGTAAAACTAGCATTATCCCAAAGTACAAACATTGTACCAAACTCCTTCACCGTTGGAATACCAAATTAAAATGCACGCAAAACTGACTTCACCGGTGGAAACCCATAATACTCAAACATATACATGCCACAAACTGCCTTCACCAGTAGAAACTATACCAAAGTACAAGTGCTCTATACTAAATTCTTTCACTGGAGACATGACATAAACAAGGCTTTTCTTATTCTAGCCGGCGCTAAATCCGTCCCAAATTAATCATGCCAGAAACCAAGATGAAACCCAAAATACCAAAGGAACAAACAGCTAAAAGAAATTTGTAACTAGGCAAAAACAAGGGCAATAAAGAGGAAAACAAAAAACACATGGGGCATGAGAACATTTCTACGTAAAAAAGTCCAACCAAAGTGTGCAGAATAAACCGAAAAGACATGTGTTGACAAAATGTTTGTATCGCGCACCAAAATAAAACTGCAACCCGTACAAACATTATGCCAGACCGAAGAAAGAACACTAACCAGGCTAAGCAGAAAAAAAGACTAACCCTTCACATAAAAAGAACAAGAAAAACAAATTTACCTCATCCGCAGAGCCAGGTGCCGGGGCAGGCTCTCCTATTGCTTCCAACACTTGAGGAGGATTTTGCACTGGCTCTGCGTCTTGTTGCACTCCAGCAGGAGCCAGCGGGTCAGGAAGAACACTAGGTTCATCAGCCATAGAAATAGCAGGCTGGTGGCGGCTGAGCAAACCGTGAAAAAAATTGCAAAACACGACTGTCTTTGTGAAGTACAGGACGAAAAGACCACACTTCAAGCAGAGACCAAATTTAAACCCCAAAAGGTGCAAAGTATTACTGACGCTACCAGCACAGGCGAAAATGGGGGAATGTGATGGAATAACCCCATGTTTTGCAATGAGCTAATTAATTATGCAGTGAGAATAGTATGAGCATATACAGCTCACAAATACGCATGTGGGTTCCCTATGCCTGGCATAGTCAATTGAACCCAAACCAACTGTATTTCAATCGAACTCAATTGAACTAAATCGAATTCAATTCATGGATTGAGTTCCATTGAGTTTGGCAATTGAACCAAATTGAACTAACACAAAATTAACTGGACAATCAAACTAAATCGAACTTTTGATTTCTGAACTCTTGAGTTTTTGTAAAACCGGTGATGAAAATCAATAACAAGTTTTTTGAGGTTCCAGTTACTGTAGTATAACACGTGCTTTTCGTGTTTTTGAGTCCACATAACATGATCTTTGTTCCAGCGAATTTATTCACCGAACACAATCAAAAGCAATCCATTAGATTGTGTTTGATTGAGTTTGGCTGCTGAACTGAGTCAAACACAATCTTATGGATTGAGTTCAATTTGGTTTGATTGATTTCGACTGGTTGGGAAATTGAACTCACACAAAGTTCGGTGTTTGATTTGGTTCGATTGCCGAATTCAATCCGTGGATTTAGTTCGGCAATCCATGGATTGAGTATAACTCAAATCCACGGATTGAGTTATACTGGGTTTGATTTCCCAGCATTTGATTGACTCTGCCGGGCCTATGCCACTGCTTTATTTGTGGGACGTAATCATTGCCAGCTCTTGCTCTATTGCGTTGTCATTTTACTTCTATGCTCCGCTTTTTGGCTGGATTTGGTTGCAGTTTTCAAGGTAAGTTATTTTCCTTTTTTAATCGCTCTGTCATGCTGCTTTGCTATTAGTTTTTTTAGACAGTGCAATAAAGCTCAGTAATGAGCTATGCAATCTCCTTTCAAAAGGGATATTTCAATTGACAAAATGGGCTTCAAACTCTATAAAGGTTATGGAAACCATGCCTCTTCGCCAACACTTGTGCCGACCACTGAGCCTGAAAAAATGTCACACTCATTAAAAGCACTGAGTACTTCATGGAACACAAAGGATGAAGTTCTGATGTTTACAAATGCTTCCAGTATCTTGACAGAGAAGGACCCTAAGACAAAGAGAAGCTTGATTAGTTTGTACTCAAAAGTCTTCAATCCCATGGGTTTGCTGACTCCATTTCTAATGATTCCAAAGTTGCTGTTTCAAGAATTGTGGACTCCAGGTCTAGACTGGGATCAGCCACTAGACTCAGACATCGCAAACTCTTGGGAGACCGGGAAACACGAACTAGCAAACATTGACCAAATCAAAGTTCCAAGGTGGTTACTACGAAATCTTTCTGCAATTGTCAAAGTTGAGCTCCATGGATTTGGTGACGCCAGCAAAAGAACTTATAGGACAGGGGTTTACATTTGTGCTGAGGATAAGGATGGCCACAGAATCTCCAACTTAGTTATGGCCAAGTCAAGGGCAGTACCGGTGAAACGAATCAGTTTGCCAAGACTGGAGCTTCTTGCAGCATACAACACAGCTAAGCTACTTGACTATGTTATTCAAACTCTCTGAATTGTGGTGGACGCAGTATATGGTTGGTCAGATAGTCAGATTACTCTTGCTTGGATCAGGAGACCAAGTTCCTATTGGAAAGTATTCATTGCAAACAGAGTTCAAGATATTCACCAATGAGTAGCACCAAGCCAGTGGAGATTTTGTCCAGGAAGTCAAAATCCTGCACACCTGGTGACAAGGGGAATTCCTACATCTAAACTCAGAGACTGCAAGCTATGGTGGAAACCTCCACATTCGTTACAATAGCCGTGCAGTCACTGGCCTGTTAGTGAAGTGCTGAAAGCAGTTCCAGAGGAGTGTCTTATGGAAGCAAGGAACGAATTTGTTGGCGTAAATGACATTGTTTGTCTAGCAACGGTTCAAGAAAGCATTCCCTCACTGGCATTAAGATATGAAACATGGCAACGCTTGGTACAAGTAACTGCATGGACCCTAAAGTGGTCACGTTTACATGGGGAGCCAAAGAAAGGAAAGCTGTCTGCAGAGGAATTAAAGGAATCTGAATTCATGTGGCTCAGAAACAGACAAAGAGTTGTTTTCCTCCTGGAAATTGAGGAACTGTGTAACAAGGGACAAGTGAATCAGAAGAGTAGCATCGTTAAGTTGGATCCACAACTTGATCAAACCAAGAAGCTACTGGTGGTTGGTGGATGTCTGCAGTTTGCTCAGATTCCAGAAGCCAAGCATCAAATCATTATACCACATGACGACCCAGTTGTTGAGAAATTGATTATGCACTTTCATGTCAAAGCTTGCCATGCAGGTCCAGAGATGACTCTGGCCATTCTCCGTCAACGTTTCTGGCTCACACAAGGACAACGAGAGGTAAAGCGCATTTTGACAAAATGTTGCCGTTACCAACCGAAGGAGTACAGACAACACCACCATTCATGAACACTGGACTGGACTTTACAGATCCACTGTATCTCAAAATAAAAGGAAGTTCCAAGCCAACTACGTCAAAGGCCTATGTGCGCATTTTCATCTGCAAAGATACTTGTGCAGTTCATTTAGAATTGTTGAACAGTATGACGAAAGAAGATTTTCTCCAGGCCTTTTGTCATATCGCTAAGACGTAGGATGGTGAAAGTGATTCACTCAGACAACCAGACCACATTAAATTTTCATAAAACAGCAAAGGTGTTCAAGACGTCGACTCAAAGAATGCGGTTGATGATGATAGATCCAACTGTTGTTGAAGATAAATTAGCCAATCAGTGTGAGCTGGAAATTTATAATGAACAGAGCCAGTCATGGTACAGGTCATTGGAAGAGAGTCTGCCAACAATTCAAGGAACCACTCAGGAAGGTGTTGGGGAAAGCTTTTCTCAACTACACAGAAATGATGACTGTCCTGACAGACATAGAAGCCATTAACTCCTGTCCTCTGAGTTATGTTGGTTATGACATACGAGATGGGAGAATCATTACCCTAGCCTTATTAGCTATTGGAAGAGATTTGGGAAGTCCACCTGATGCACCACCAAGGAAAGCAGAAGTTTATTGTCCATGTTATGACTTTTAAAAACAAACTCCAACCGATTGGAATAAAACTAACCATAAGCTCACAAGTACGCATTGCAGACCTATTTTTAAAATAAGCAACCACATGTCTTGCCAACATTAAAAATTTATAGCCGGACTGCAACTCAGAAAATATTACAGAATTTCAACAGAAAGTCTCATTCAAAATAATGTCTAACAGCACTTGACCTTTCTTTAGAAATTATTCACGATTCTGAGCACTGTTTAGGCTACTAACAAAAGTCTCAGCATGATCTACTGTAACCTCCAAGGTGAATGCTATGATCTCAACTGACTAAATGCTTGACAGTGAAAAATTGGTGCAGAATTTCAGCAACAACATAACCTATCTTAATCCGTTGAAATTTTTTTTAAGAATGCCCAGAGATTCCAAGGACTATTGGTTTTGTAGATTTCAAGTTAACAAATTTTCCAGCCAAGTTTCAGCATGCCATAAAACATAGGCATACAAAGCGTGCAACAGTTATTTTTTTGAGTGTGTGAAGTCTTGGAGATAGGAGCATTCATGGAGCTGTTTACAGTAATGATTTGGTTGATTTGTTAAGTTTTTTTGGTTGCAATGTACAGCAAGAAAGAAACTGGGAATTTGTGATGCACATACAATGTTACATCAGTAATGGTAATATTGCTAAATAGTAAGCCGTAAAATGTTTGACTGAACAAACTACAGTAATCTGACACGTCTCCAGATTAATGTAGATACCATCTTATTTTCTAACAAGCAATTTGATTCGTTCTTTGATACAACCCACGCTGTGATTGGTGTGACACATGCACATGCATAACTCTCTCACTCACCAATCACATAGCCCTTCCAACCCCCAAGAGGAATTTTTGCTCAGAAATACTCAAGTTAAGAGACCTTTTCGCATTTTATACGAGTCATAAGTTGTGACCTTCCATGGGAAAAGATAAATTAACGTGTACCCATTAAAACGGGGAAAAATAACAGCTAACAGACGGCAAAAGAATGGCTCATGAAGGCGTTAAAACGCCTTACTCATCCATTTAAACGGATAACAAGTAATTTCAAACGTTTGAGCATCAGCGTTTTAACGGCAGCACATAGCAGCACATAGCTTCGGCAAGGCCAAAGCATTAAAACGAGTGTTTATCATTTGACTGTAGCCGTTAAAACGGATAGTCCGCACTGTTACAACAGATAAACGTTTGGACAGACAAGGAATGAGCTTCTGAACAAATCAAAGAGAAGAAAACTGGTTGTTTAGTTGTAGTAATGTTTCGAACTTACATATTTTAGAAAAGCTTCCCTCCACTCGTTGTAAGTTGTTGTTGTCTCCGCTCGTCTCAGCCATCCGAAACTTGCAACAGTTCAAACGCGAATGACCAATTCAAAACAAAGCGATTCTCAGCCACACACAGAAGCCTGATTCAACTAAATAATGTGTGTTCATTTGGTGAATTATTATTTTCTTCAAATAAGCTTAAATATACTTCCCTCCTTTTCGTACTTCTCAAACCAAAACACGATTCCATCATGGCATGGAATCAAGGTGTATTGTAGAGCCCTGGGAACGAAACGAAAAAGATGCGGGCATTGGATTAACATAACACCCAGTAGCAGGCGAAGACAGAAAATGATGGACGCTGAAAACTTCAAATTTTGCGAATCGACTTACAGAAAGTTGGACCATTATAAAATTAACATTTTCGTAGGAGGAGATTAGTTACAGTACTACTGGCAAACGTTTGCAATTATCCCGCTATGAGCTTCGATCAATCGTAAGTGATCTTTGTCAAGATTCAAGTTTCATATGTTTGTATTCTCCATCAAACATCAAATAATTCCGAAGAATTAGCATGTCTACTTCTTGCTGTTTGAGTGGTTTGTTGAATGAGCGATGTTTAATCGACATTAGTAGCAAAAAAAAACTTTATGATTGAACGGTTTATAGCGTGATGACATTAGAATTAATGGCCCCTTTTCTGAGCCGTTAAAACATTTTGTGACATAAAATTTAACAACTACTGTTAGCCGTCAAAACGGATGCCTTTCTGAGCCGTTTAAACGTTTTGACATAAAATTAACGCCTATCGTTAACCGTTAAAACGGCTCTTTATAAAACGTTTAACAGATGATTTTTGCCGTTTTAACGGCTTGTGTTAAAATGCAAACGCCATGTTAATGGGTTTTCATACCGTTAAAACGGGTAATGAACGGAATGTTAATGTTTTTAGACGTTTTAACGGGAAGCTGTTAATGTACATTTTCCTGTGGAAGGTCGCAGTTTACCCTTTTTACACAACACAACACAACAACACTACTTCACCGAAAATAGAAAGAAAGAGAGAAAAACCTCTCTGACACATTGAAAGTCTGATTTAATTAAATTGCACTTTAACTTGGTACCGTGCAGTCTTCAAAGAATATTTGAGCAGTTTTCATACTTTTTACCTTTAGAAATATCGGAGTGAAATGAATGTCATCAAATAAAACTATTAAACTGCTACTGCAGAGACGTAAAAACGGTCCAGAAATGAAAGCTTCTTTTTTGTTTAATATCCTGGAAACAATAGCCAATAACTTGTCAGCTCTAATTGAATTTCCTCCCACATAAAAAACAAAAGTGTTAAGTTACCATTTGTAACTAAAGATAGCAAACATCTTGTGGGAAAGAGTGGTG